ACGGACAGCAGCACGGGCCATCAGATGGACCTCATGAATTACGAGGATCCTCATCCTCCTCCTCCTCCTCCTCCTCCTCCTTGTCCTCCTTCTCCTCCTCCTCCTCCTCCTCCTCCTCCTCCTCCTCCTCTTCCTCTTCCTCCTCCTCCCCCTCCCCCTCCCCCTCCCCCTCATCCTCCTCCACCTCCTCCTCCTCCTCATCCTCCTCCCCCTCCTCCTCCTCCTCGGGTCGCCTACGGCCCCAGGGGAAACCGTGCACCCCCGACCTCGCCGACCGCGTGGCGGACGTTGGTCATGTCCAGACGGAGGGATTTGGGGTTTTCAACCGTTCGCTGCTGCGTGGCTCCTGCGCCCGCACTCGAGCTCCTCCGATAAGTTTTCGCCTTGCATACCAAACGTGAAGCCGTGGATCCCCTGTCTGGACGTATACGATGAAAACATCGGCCCCGAGACGGACAGTGGCTCGACCATGAAGGTCGGGGGTTTCGCTCCAGCGATAGGTAAGAAATGGGCGCAGGAGGCAACACCAATTTTTATGACATCTGAAATCCAGGGCATACATCGTTTGCACTCCCGCGTGCGTCGATTTCCTTACGACACGCAACCCGCACCCCTGCTCAGCGACATGGTCTTCACCGGGTTCGTGGACCCAGCTTCGGCCCTCAAGTGCCTCGCGATCCTTTCGAAGCGTGGCCTCACCTCCGCGTGCCATTGGAGAGCCTGACGACCCTCGAGTTCCCAGTTCGAGGAAGCCGTGGCGCTGCCAGTGCAGCCCAGAGCCTGATCTGTGCCGCCCGCTGCAGGCGAGCTCGTTGCGGTGGCGCCTCGGCACGCCGCGCGCCCCCGTGCCCCGTTGCCGTGCCCAGCCCGCAGATGAGCCCGTGCAGTCCCAGGGCCCTGGCCTTCGGACGAAGGCCCCTCGCCTCCGAAGGCGGCCTCCTCGACGGCTGTCTGGAAGGCTGCCTGTGCGACGGGCCGGCCTGGGCGCCCCTGCGCTGGCGACCTTCGACCACACCAGCGTGACCACTACCGATCGTGAGTCCCAGGCGCAGAGAGTGATCTCAAGTTAGAGCAGCAGGCGTGGGCAGACCTCATCCGCACGGCGGAGACGAGGCAGCGCACCGGCACGGCACACAGCATGCACAGGTGCCCGTCGCCGGCTCCACGAGGGGCGGCTCCCCGCCCGTCACGCCTCCAAGCCCGCGGGGGACGTCTGGCAGGCCCTGGGGCTCGGAAGCCACTCGCTGCTCCGAGGTCCTGCTGGATGTGAGGAAGCGAACGCGTCGCTTGATGGACAAGGTCCTTGACATGGGCACTTGAGCAGCAGGGATCGGCGCCAGTTCCGAGGGCCCTCGCCGCGAGTTCGTGATCGCCAGCCCTCGTATGGACCTGATGGGGCAGCTAGTGGGCTAATTATTGGCGTCCGTCCTGTGCGGCGACGGGGCGAGGACGTCCTCCCTCGCTGTGAAGCCTGGCCCCGTCCCGCTGGAGGGGAGCGCGCCTTTGAGGTACATTACATTTCTTCTCCTCGCCCGAGCTCATGGACGAAAGGCCGTCTGCGCTGTGCCGCCTGGGGTGGTTCTTGGACTTCGGGTCTCCCACTGCGGAGACGGTTGTGGCCATCGAAACGTCTCGTGGACGAAAGGCCGTCTTCGCTGTGCTGCCTGGGGTGCTTCTTGGACGTCGGGTCTCCCACTGCGGAGACGGTTGTGGTCATCGAAGCGTCTCGTGGACGAAAGGCCGTCTTCGTTGTGCCGCCTGGGGTGTTTCTTGGACGTCGGGCCTCCCACTGCGGAGACGGTTGTGGTCATCGACACGTCGCGTCTTACTTCATGGCAGTTGTTGATCCCGCCAGTGCGTGCTTGGCCTCTCCTGCCCTACGGCTCGTCCTTGTGCATCTGTGCACGCCTCTGCCCTGGGATCCGCCCGTCTCTTTTTTGCCCGCTTTCTTCTGGCCGCGCGTTTTGTTTCTTGGAATATATGGGTTTCCCTGGACCGCCTCCCTGTCCAGGCGACTTCAACCTGTCCTGATCAAGAACCTTTCGTATCCTTAGCATCATTGCCGTGCTGGGCCTGGAGCCACCCTCGAGGCATGGGAAAGAGAGAGAGAGAGAAAGAGAGAGTCGTCGTCTTCGTCGTCGTCGTCGTTGTTGTTGAGGTCGTCGCCACCGCAGTCGCTTCTCGGCGTCGTGCGCAGCTCCAAAGGACACACGACGTCGGAGCGTTGCACGATGTCAGTCGTGCTCGTGCAATCCTTCGATCTCTCGCTCGTCGTTTTTTGAGGTCGTCGCCGCCGCCGTCGTCGTTCGACGTCATGCGCAGTTCCGAGAGGCGCACGACGTCGGAACGGCGCTCGACAGCGATCGTGCTCGTGCAATCGTTCGATCGCGCACTCGCTCTTCGCCGTCGAGGTCGCCGCCGCCGCGGCCGTCGTCCGACGTCGTGCTCAGCTCTGAGAGAGGCGCACGACGTCGGAGCGGCGCACGACGTCATTGGTCTTCGCTCGATCGTTCGACCGCCCGCTCGCCCCACCTCACCAGCCAGAGTGGGCGATAGGGCGCGGCCCCCCAGAGGTTGGACCCCTCCCCTGGACCGTCGTCTCCTGGCGGTCCCGGGGCCCTGCCGCGGCCCCTGGAGGCTGAAACTTGGCACAAACCTTCCGTCGCGTTGAGCCGTGCAGTCGTTCGATCGCTCGATCGTTCACTCGTCAATCGTTCAATCGCTCGATGGTTCAGTCGTTCGATCGTTCGGTCGTTCGATCGTTTGATCGTTCGATCGTTCGCTCGCTCGCTCGCTCGCTCGGCGCCGCCTCGCCCCCTCCGCCCGAGGCTGCCGGCGAGGCGGGCGTGCCCGCGGAGGCGCAGCACCATGGGGACGGCGGCCGCCGGGCGGCGCCGCTACAGCCCGGCGGTGAGCGGGCGTCGCTTAGTTGGGCGTCGCGTGCTTCTGGAGGCTGGAGCGGGGTGTGGCATAAAGGGGCGTGGTGCCAATCGTGGAACTGGCGAGATGCTCTCTACGATGGGCAGCCCCGCCAATCCAGCTTTGGCACCACACACACCCCTTCGCACCACACCCTTGTCCTGCCTTCAGAGAATAATGGGGGGGCGATGAATGAGGGGGGGCAGCGAGGGCTGCAGAAGAAGGGGCCTTGCTGGGCCCGTGAAGGGGCCCCAGGAGGCCCCGAAGGGGGCCTTCAGGGCCCGAGAAGTGCATCATATCTTCCCCACGTTACACCCCTCCCCCACACGCAGCGACGCCCGACTTGACAGGGGAGGGGGGCTCACACGGTGTGGTGACCACACCGCGTGGTGAGTCAGTGGGGGTTCGTGGTCACCGCGCGGTTTGGGGACTCGGGTCGGGCGACGGTGGCTTCCAGGGGCCCAAGGCCGTGTGGTGACGGACCGCGTGGTGAGGTCGCAGCGGTTCCGGCTCCGGGGCCACCACGGTGTCCGTCTCCACACGGCTTTGGAGCCCCGATCATGCGGGGGCGTGGATCGGCAGGGTTTGGAGCTGGCTGGGGTCTGAAGTGGCCCAGCAGTGGTTTTGGCCAGAAGGGAGGGGGGAATGAAGCTCGAGGTGCTGGGTTCGAGGGTCCTTTTACGTTTTTCGGCCTCTGGGTGCCTGTCTCGGGCCCCCGGACCGTCAAAATCGGATCCGGGGTGACAAGCTCCACCAAATGGACCCCTGGAGGGGTCCAGGGAACGATTTTGAATGGATTTGCTTTCATTTTTTCCTTCTGACACATTTTCTCAGCGCGTCCAGTTCAGACCCCCTGGGCATGTTCAAGGTGGGGAGAATAATCCGTGGGCGGCCAGGAGGGGCGTGATGACCAGGCGGGGTGCACACCACGGGGGCCATGATACATCTCCCCGAGTCTCATGGCCCCTTCTTCTTCTTCTGATTCTTTTTCTTTTTTTTCAATACTTTCCGTGGTTCCCCCTCGTCCACGCACATACCCTTGGCCGCCCCTGAATAACGGTGCACCTGTCGGACACCCTCGGGGCCCTCAAGAGGCCCCCCCCTTGGGCCCAAAAAGTGCACAAGGGGTGCACGCTTCTTCGCCGCCCCCCGCCCCTGGGCGCGCGACAAGCGGGTAGAAGGATGGGGTGGAGGAGGAGGAGGAGGAGGAGGAGGACGAGGAGGACCAGTGCAAAGCCAAGACTCACCAACGATGGTGGCATAAACCCTCCCTCCAAGCTCCCTCTTCAGTGGCCCCTACAAGGGTTCATGTCCACTGAGGGAACTGCCTCGTTGGAAGAGAAGCTTTTCTAGACCCTGCAGCATGCCAAAACACCGTTCTCGGGACTCCAACGCCACGGATCAACCTGACTGTTACGTCGTGGCGATCCCCAATCGTGCCAGAGCAGAATTCCAGGGACTCCCACATCGTGAAATCAACGTAATCGTTGCAATCTCACAATCCTGAGTCCTTCTAAAACATAATTTCTGGTACGCTGACCATGGGGATCCATAATACTCTTGCAAAGTTTGGAAACGAATGTGCGCGGCGCTACGGCAAGAGCCACATATTGAAAAGGAGCCGCCCTCAATCCGTGAAGCTCTTGCAGTTTTGAAGACGAATGTACGCGGCGCTAGGGCGAGAGCATCAGTTTGAAAAATGCCCGCCATCACTCAGTGAAATTGTTATATATATATATATATATATATAGATATAACAAAAAAAACGCGATTCGCTAAAGCGAGAGCCACCTTTTGAAAACGGCCCGCCCTCAGTCCGTGAAACTTCTGCAACGTTTTAGAACGAGTGTGTGCGACGCTGAGGCGAGAGCCACATTGTGAAAGCCACCCGCCTTCAAACCGTTAAACGATTGCAGATGTTTTGTTGTTGGGGAGGGGTGCGGCGCTAAGACAAGCTACACTTTGAAACCAGCCGCCCTGCATGTATGAAAGTGTTGTCACGTTTTCGGCTACAAGATCATAGATGGTGAGGAAGTCTCAGGCGAAACGCCCGGCCCGCCCTTTCGACTGGCCTCGGGGTG